TTAGAACAGTTTAGACCAGTTTAGACCAGTTTTAGACCAGTTTTAGATCAGTTTTAGATCAGTTTTAGACCAGTTTAGACCAGTTTTAGATCAGTTTAGACCAGTTTAGATCAGTTTTAGATCAGTTTAGACCAGTTTAGACCAGTTTAGACCAGTTTTAGATCAGTTTAGAACAGTTTAGACCAGTTTAGACCAGTTTTAGATCAGTTTAGACCAGTTATAGACCAGTTTAGACCAGTTTAGAACAGTTTAGACCAGTTTAGAGATGTATGTTTGACCTGTGTCACAGCTTTGAATCAGACCACCCTCACTCAGCCAATCAAGCTTCTCTGATAGGACGAAAAATATGTTATGGAGGGAAAGTTAGGTATCCCAGCTTTAAAGGAGACATATTACGATGCTCTTTCCTCCATTAAAGCTGCACTGACTCAATTTGTGAAATTTTCGAATGTGAGCGCTGGCCTCGCTCTCTTTGCTCGCCCTCCCCGCACTCACGAAGCTATCGACCCCCACTATCACCCTCCCACTCAGCCTGTGCTTATGTGTTTACGGAGCTCAATATGGATCGCACATTTGAGCGTGGCGTGACCATAGAATGATAGAACCGGGAGGAACGAGACTTTCTTTTGGCTGTTTCTCTGAGTAAGCAGTAACCGGTAACGAAGACACGGGAAGTTTCAGGTTAGCCTCCGCCGCTTGTTTACCTCAGCTGTCTGTGCTAACCAGAGACCTGTGGCTTTTCTCAAGAAAGTGGGGGCCAGTTGTCCGCTGTGATTGGTCACGATCTGGACCCGAAACATATTCTCTTCCTTGTTGCACGAAAACTCAATCAAAATTAAAATGATCCTTCAGCACAAATCTGCACTACATACTCTTCAAAAGAACGTATATCCCACTGCACTGCACGGATATGGATTGAATTTTCTTCATGAATACAAAAATAAAGTGAGGTAATGCAGCTTTAATATAAACATGTAAATCCTGCAGTTTGGTATTGTTTAAAAATCAATAATAGTGTTTTAATGACATGAAGTGTGGCAACATTTACAACGGAGAATTCTCGAAAGATTTCAATGATTCACTTTTGTAAATCTAGGTATGTTCCTATATTTTAGCTTTCTGTTCATTGGAGCAGTTCTGGGCACGGGAAGTAGGATTATGCATGTGAAAATATGACAAAACTAAGACGGATTTTTTTTTTTTTTACTGTAAAGTCTAAGCACTTTAAAACTCCCAAAGCAACTTACTTTATCTTTTCTCCGAATACTTCTACTCGAGATGTAATATGTTTGAACGTGCAAAGAATCACTCTCATTGACTAAGGGAGACTCCCATTGGACGTTGGGCCTAAATATCATAGAACCTATATGAGCTGGAATCCATTAAAACCTAATTTATTTATTCTTTTATAAATACATGTTTTGTTATCAATGAGCTCAGTTTCCAATTAAATTACAGATTTTAATACAACTTGTGTGTAGCAATATGCATTTTTATGAACACGCTAGAAAATAAATCAGGTATAGTCACATTCTGAGAGCTGATTGGTTGAGTGGGGACTGGTACTGAAAAAGTGTGAAAGGTTGAACTGTGGGGTTGTTTCCAGGTGAGCGAGAATGAATGAAAGTAGAGGTACTTCTTTCTGTAGTTCTTTGGTTGAAGAGAAACCCCAGTGTCTTCTTCCCCACACGCTGCGATGATAGAAGGGGCCAATTTCATCTTGTCTGCCAAAGCCTCACCGCGGGCCAAAACAAACATGCTTGGATCAGGGTGGGGCTTCCTGCTCGGGGTGAGTCCTGCGAGAGAAGGAGGGCATCTCAGAACACAGCATTTACTCTAATCTGTCTCCATGGCAACCCCAGAACAACATCAGACAGACTTGGTGTTGCATGTTTGACTGACTTATAGGTCAGTAGTCAGACTCAGGGAGGGAGAAGAGCTACAGTGAGTGCTACAATGAAAAAAGAATTATATATTTTTTTTATTTTGCTGCTAATGGACACCTGAATTTCTCCAACAGGGATCAACAAAATATCTATCTATCTAGACAAGGATTTAAGTGCTAATTAGTTGGTATTTATTAAGCACTTATAAGTGCTTAATAAATACCTTATTCAACATCTAACTACTAACTGATACTTGCCCTTGTGAGTGAGGGTCAGGGGGCTAAGGCTAGGGAAGACTAATTAGCACTTAATTAGTGAGGGCTAATCTAAAGTGTTACCATTCTCTGTCTGTCAGAAGTAAGATAGGAAGGAAGTAATCACCTCAGACAGCTTCATTGTAAAACATTGTCGTCATCACAGAAGACTGTTTCTGTTTCCTGGCTCAAGCATCACGGCCCTGTATTAGTCAAATTACCCACAATGCAATCCTCCATGTCTCCATAATGATCAGATTATTATCATAGAGTGACCATTATGCATGCGCGCACATACTCCAGTCGCCCCATGCTGAGTGTGTTGTAGCCACGTTGAGGTGAGTTGTTTTTGTTGCATTTTGTAGCTTTATCTCTAAACACGAGTGGACTGTGGAATTCAGAAGAGAACATGTCTGCCCTGGCTCAAGACCGGCTTGAAGTCTTTTCCAGATGCCTGATGTAGCAGCGCATCACAGCAGGACCTCCACACGACTGCATCTACACGTGCAGAGCAAGACATCAGTCAGAGCGTTGTTACTGCCCCATCACAGCAGACGAGGAGCTGTTTTCACTTCTGCATGTGCCAGTTGCTCCCTGCGCTCATGGGGCAGATGCTTCTTTCTGTGCCCTCCTCCACAGGGCACTTTCAAGACGATACGATATATTTATAAAAGCACCTCAGCAACAAATAATGGCTTTGGCTCTGTGAGATTTCATAACACTTTGAAGCAACTATGGTTAAATTTCAAACTCTTCATTCTAACATTTGCAGGAGCCAGTACTATTCTATTGTTTTGTCTGTCTGAAGGCCAAGCTACTGGCATTGCGGCGAAAGCTGATTGGACGGTGTTCATTCCTCCATGCTGTATATTATCACTTGCTGTCTGTAACCTTCTTGGTTCGTGCTCTTGTTCGTGCTTCTACCATCAACAATAAAACATGTCTTCTGTCTGAATTAAAGACACGATCCCAGACTGTGTCATCTTCTTCAGCTCCTTTTATTTTTTGCACATGACTAATTGTTACTGTATTTTTGCAGTCCATCTGTGCCTTGTTGCTATGGAAATAAAGTGATTATGAGGTGTAGGACCCTGTCCTGCACTGGGAGAGCATGACATTTACATGTGTGCAGGTGCCACATGTAAATGTCACAGACCCTCACCTCCTACATGTGTGTCCCATTACTGCTGCAGCTGAGGGAGGCCCTCGGGAACTTTAGGACCAGAACTGAATCATTGAATCAAACAGACATGATGTATCAAATATGATCACAAACATTGAGATTCTTTCAATCAATAGAAATGATATTAGAACTGAAATAATCATTTTTATTCATCTAAACTTGCTATGAATATGTGGATGTACTACTTATGATTCGGGTTGAGAGTTAAAAAAAATGTATACTGTTCTATCACATCTCATCTTTATTGACTGTGGCATAAACGTTGACACATCCACTCACATTAACACTCTTAAAAGTGCATGTGTGTGTTGTCTCTTTGACTTTGGCATAAAACATAAATCCAATAACAAAGCCCATCCATCCATTTTCTTCCCCTTCATCCATTTCTGGGTCGGGGGGTGGCAGTCAGAGCTGCACCCAGTACACTCAGCACCAGCCCCTCACTGATCCTCCTGCAGATGCTGAGTCCACAGGAGCCTTGATCTTTCAGCGGGGGCTTCAGGCAAAGTGGGGTAAAGTGTCTTGCCCAAGGACACAAAGACAGCAGTCATCAGTGGGAGTCGTGAAGTGAAGGTCTTATGGTGGGCTCAAACCCACGACCTTCAGGCTCTAAGGCCAATGCTCTACCGACTGAGCACTGTCGCTCCAATAACAAAGCCATGTTCTGTTAATTCACATATTAAATCTATTTGAGCGAAACCATGATGCTTGACAAAAAGGTAATTATTTTGCTTACAATACTGCCATCTGGTGGTTAGTAGATAAAAGGTTGTTGTCTGAACAAGTAAACACTAAAAAGCGTTATGTTCGTGTTGGCTTCCTGCAATTACCATTATATTGTGTGTTTTCAAAGCATTCTCCCCAACACTGAACCACAACTAGCAGGGACTGCATGGAGGCACACACACTGACACACACTGACACACTGACACACACTGACACACACTGACACACACTGACACACACTGACACACACTGAGGGCCCAGCTCAGGCCGTAAAGCACAGTGCATTCACCCGCTCGGAGCTCTCCATCCTCCGCTCTCACACGTCCACAGTCCTCGCTCCTGGGCTGAAGTAGAGACAGTAATGGCGCCCTCCTTTGGTCAGAAGCGGCATTGCTATTGTCGTGGTTCTGAGTGATTTGAGGACGAAGAAAAGGTCTCTAATATTAGGGAGATATGTAGTGTCCCACATCGTCACTTCTGGAAAGTCTCGGTGGCATATCTGTCCTGCAGTCCTGAGTTTAACCACAGGAACTGACCATAACCCTACCTTTAACCTGATAAATTAATATGAATATGATATGTTCCGAGTCATTCTCATCTTGACTTTGTTGTGAGTGGGGCGCTTAGTTTGTTCTTTATTTTTTGGGAACTTGTCCTCTCACTCCACACAGAGATGGGAGCGGGGTCGCCGAACAGGAGGCGCATGCCAGACCTATTGTACATATTTTTAGTGGTAGGGGAAACTGGAGTACCCGGAGGAAACCTACGCAGACACAGGGAGAACATGCAAACTCCACTCAGAAAGGCCCTGGTCCGGCCGGGATTCGAACCCAGGACCTTCTTGCTGAGAGGCGAGAGTGCTATCCACTCAGCCACCGTGCCACACTTTTCAGCAGCCCCTGGGGTCCTTCCTCCACAGCAGGTCTTTCCCTTGCAGGTTTTTATTCCTCCTCAGGTGTTCCCGCAGAGCACATAGTCCCTGGGGTCGTCCTGCATGTTGGTGGGGTAATAGTTTGTGTTCCTGGACAGGCCTTTAATCGTCTCTGGTTTTTCCATCCACCACAGGCGGACTATTCCCACCAGGCCTTCTTTACACCACAGGCGTATCCTCAACAGGTTCAGCCTCAGGTGTTCCAGGCAGAGGAGTCCCTGGCCATGCCCCCTCTCCTCCATCTCCTTCCTTTTCATTCTCTTCTCCTGCTTACCCTCTCTCTGGTTTGCAGCAGGTAGAAGAGTCCCTCCTGCTATCCCCTCTTCTCCTCTTATTTTGTCTGCTCCTTCTTCTCCCTCTTTAGGGGCAGATTCTTGTTTGCAGCTTCTTGCTCAGGCTTCTCCTGCTCCTGCCTCCCCCTCTCCTCCTGGCTCTGCTTCTCCTTCCCTCTCCACATCCAGCTCCTCCTTCTCGTAAGCGTGGCATGGACGAGTACGCTGAGAGGAGCTCCAAGAGGCCATGTCGCTCGTCTCCTTCTGCCTCTTCTACTCCTCCTTCCCCTTCTCCGTCCTCCAGGCCTCCCTCTTCCCCCTGTTCCCTCCCTCTGGGTTCTCTCCTCTCCCCTGGGTGGAGGTGGTGGTGGGTGGAGGTGGTGGTGGAGGTGGTGGTGGTGGAGGTGGTGGTGGTGGGGGCCATGGACATCGAGGGCAGAGCTGTTCTGAAGGCGACACAAGGAGAGGAGAAAGTCCTGGATCGTGAACAGAGAGAGGTACAACAGGATCTGTAAAAGACACTTGAGAGCCTGGAATCTGACCTTTATCATGTTTTCATCATTTACAGTTAGTACAAGACTGACATCCGCTCACACATGGACCAGACCAAGTCTCCCCAGTGTCCCCGATCACACAGGACTCAGTGTCTGTAGGTGAGTCTCCTCCGTCTGTAGTCACAGGACAAATCATTGTCATGCACTTTTCTGTGAAATGTGTTTAGATTATGTTATATTATAATATACTGTAATATATGATGTAATGTTTTCCACTGATGTGAGATGTAGACAAATACACTGTCAATAGTTCACAAAATGCAATGCTAGTACTAGGATTTTGGGGATAAATATGAAAATAAATGTCACTCAACAAATTGTTTGTTTTCCCATGTCCTTCTTCAGGCTCACAGAGTTTGAAGACTGTGCTCCTCCCAGAAGTGGTACTTACAATACTATTGTTTAAACAATACTAGAGCTGGGCTTTTTTCTAAAGGCAAAGTGCTTTTTGGGGGTTGCCCAGACAACAACCAGTGCTTGCACTGTACATGCATTTGAAGGTCTGGAATTGTCTTTCTGCAAAGGATTCCATTGGAAGACTCCCCTGTGATCAGCTCAGACACAGTTCACCGTGAAATAAACCCCAGAAAGTGTCCTGCTCCAGACTCCAAGTCCTCACAGAAGATGTTGCTGCCTGCGTCAGTCGTTCTTCTCTTCTCTTGCTGCTCTGTGAAGGACCATGTTACAAAGGATTCCTGCAGCTAAACCCTTTGAGGTTTCTGTAAAATCATGGTGTGCAGCTCTCATAGCTGAGTGGGTGAGTTCTTATTATCGTCATGGATGGATAATACTGTTGTTGCACTGCACTAGTGATCATGAAGCTGAAGCGCAAATTCAGACTGAAAGACCGGTCACAGCTCTCACCCGTCCAGGGCCTGCCAATAACACAGCCTGGCCAGCCTCTTGCCAACCCACTGACAGCAAAGCAGACAGTTTAAGCAGCAGCCACTTCCTGATAAACAGCGCTTCCTGAGGCTCTTAACACCCACCTCCTCCCCAGCGCCTCCTCTGTGCCCTGGTTCCTGCCCTGGCTCCTGCTCTGTTTCCTGCTCTGGCTCCTGCTCTGGCTCCTGCGCTGCCTACGCCCCATTCACACCATGCTTCTACCAGTGCTTGACCCCGGGGGACCTGAGATTATCTTCAGCAGCAGACAATCTTCCCGCTACAAGTGTCACTGCCGGGGTCAATGCGGCAAACAAATAAATCTTTTTTCATGCATTAATGTTTGTCTTGGTCTCTTCAGATTGAAATGTCTGTGTTCTATTGTAAATGGTCTTTTGTCATCTATAACACACACATGGTCCGACAGTCTTCTGCATCTGCTCTTCTCACTGTCTCCAACATCCAGGACAAGTTCTGCCTGAGCACAATGGAACTTTTGGAAATATGAGAGAAGTAATGGACCTACTCAGACTCAGAAAGGTTCTTAAATCATTGACAAAACTTGACATAATGCAATACTTCAGACGTGTTTTATTTATTCACGTCTCATTCAAAGGTGCACGGAAGGACAGCCCTGGTTTCTGCGCAGAACTCAGAACATACTCTATTATTGGGGCGTAAAAGGTCCAAAATGTTAGCCTGGCTCTGCCAGACCCTTGTAGTTCCGCCATGCTCCACCAGAGGCGTTTGGCTGAACCACATGGGTCTGGTATCGACGCCATAGCGAACGCCTTCCCCAGATTATTTTTTAATCGACCAATCAGGATTGCCGGTGTTACGTGGGGTTTGCACTGCCTCCTCACGCTTCTCTCATGCAGCAGCGAGAAGAATCCAAGATGGCGGACGTAAAGTCCGCGAATCTTTAAAAGAGTAAATACGATCGAATTAAGACACGGATGTCACTTTTAATGCAATTTTAGGCAAGATGTTGATGGTTCTATTTTGATATATGTGTGTTTAAGTTTGGTTGAAGCACTGGTTCAGTGTTCCTGTTTACACACTATGCAGCAGGGTTGCCAGGTTTGTTTGTTCTCGCATATTTTTCCAAGAGACTTGTAGGTATTAAATAAACAGAAAGACAATAAACAGAATCATGATTGCCCAAGTTGATTACATTACGTTTTTAGCCAAAAAATTGTTGTGGGTATTCTCGCGGGTTTTGGGTTGGAAAATCTTGCTGGGATTTGGCAACCTATGGGAGCCGTGTGCTTCGATGTGAGTGGTTGAAAGCAGACTTCACTCAAGATAACGGACAAGTGGTCTATCCAATCACATACAAGGATTTTTTTTACAAGGCCCTGCCTTCTGAAATCCAACCACTATGGCTCAGTACCAGACTCATGTGTGAAGTGCAGCGAACTGCATGGGTCTGGCGAGAGTCAGGCTACCAAAATGTAGGACAGTAAGTTTTGGTTGTGGACTGAGTCATTTCTAACTTGTGTTCTTATAAAAGTGTAATACTGATGCCTGTCGTCTTTTCCAGACAGCGGCAACACAACAACACAACAACACAACTACAGTCTGGAAATTTGGTGAAAGAGATCACATATGAACTTGTTGAAAAGAAGTCATAATTCTCTGCTCCTTCACCAATGTAGTTATGTGTAAACATGTTTCAGGGCAGGACAAGGACTGGTTTGCTTCTAAGTTGGAACAGAGACTTTAGCAGACACTTTGGGTAGGATATTTTAAATATGTATGTTTTTATGTAGATGTGCTTTATCAGGAGTTCAGAGTCCAAACATCTCTAGATATCATTGCTGACATTCTGTGGTCTGTGCTGAAGAAAAACGTCAACGTTTAGTTGAATACTATTTTTTTTAAACAATGTGTAGTTTCTGGCTTGGCCTTTACCAGGATGTGTTACAACTAATTAATAGCAGAGATTCACCCAGAACTCCTCATAATTTTTATAATGACTTTCCAGTCAGTACCGTGGGTATTTTTGAAGTACCTGCAAGAAAAGTATTTTTGCTCAATAGTTCAATAGACTTTAATCCATTCATGATTTATCTGAAATAGCTGTTGCGTGAAAGACATGAAAGAGCTAAAAGACAAAATGATACATTGTATTTAGTACATCACATTTCAATAATCATAAAAGAGTTAAAAGTGTGAGATTGTTCAAACAGGATGGTTTAGGCCTCTTTAAAAAGCCTCCACACTCCCAGCAGTTTATGACCTCGGGGTTTGTGATCCAGGGCAAAAACCATAGACTGTAAACATTAGTCACACATAACACATCCAGGGCCCACGTCGGGACGTGGCTCGGAAACACCAGCTCCATCATGTTTCTGTTTTAACAGAGTGTTTTAACAGATCGATAAAGTGAAGAAGAATCACAGAATGTGCGGAGGTCTGGGAACACAGTTGTACTTCATAACATGTGATAGGACCCCCACAAAACTCAGTGTTAAAAAGGAATGTGCTCATTTATTAAAAGATTCAAAAGTGTTTCCAAAGTGGCTGCACTGAGGTGTTTACTTTTTGTGAGGATTTCTCCTGCTTCAGCCACAACACTTCACCTGTGAAAACACACACAACCAGGTTTATACTACGCCGCTGCAATAGGGAATTTCACCATTGTGAATTTGATCAAATCTTATTAAATAATTCTTATAAAATATCTTTCCCCAATAAGGGGAAAACTTTCTCTTTTTTGCCTGTTCCATCATTGAGCTTTTGCAAATACCAAACCAATGACACAAGATGTGCCTTTGATTTTTTAAATGACTCAACACGGTCTTCCCCAAACTAGCGAACCCATCGCTAAATCAGTCACATGGTTCAGGATGGTTCAAACGTCATCGCTGACTTCACCAATCCACGCTCCGAGCCCAGTGGCAATACCACCCGGGCCGATGGGGGTGGACCCGGAATAAGAATTAGCCAATGCTAACATATAGCATCTTCTTACCTCTCGAAAACACCTTTACAGGATGGTCCAAAAGATGGCTCTTGGCCCAAAGCTTCGTTCCACATGTGTGTCAATGCTGAGGGGGGTGAATTATTTTTGGACAAGTCTAGATTAGATGCTGTGAATTTTTGAAGTCACTCGTTTAAATGAATGGAGCCGGCTGACGCATGCGCAGATGCATTTTTTTCACATTTTTCAGCCCCCGCGGCCATTTTGAATCACTCCATGAAAGCCGAATTTTTGGCCAATTAGTTAGAATGGCGGAGATAGGCGTGACTACGTCCGTTAATAGATACGGTCTATGTCCAAGCCACGCTTCACTAGACTGCACTGATCTTTGCAAACCTAAAGTGGTTCAGTGACTGGGGCCACTGGGCCTCTACAGAAGTGTTGCTCCATCTCGTTCTGGCTGTTATTGACTCACCTGTAAAAGTAAACTTCTCTAGCTTAGGTGCTCTTTACACGGAGACGCTGTGTCTCTGTGCAAAGATTGTATATCGGATTGTCCTTTTGTTTACATGAAGACTGTGATTCAGGTGAAACAAGTGGAACAGAACAGATACGCTGCTCAGCGAGGGGCTGTTTCACATCTGTGTGAAGAAAACGGTGTGAATTCTCTGCAGCTTGACCCCCACTTTCCCGCCCGTACATTTGGACATGATCAGCAGCAGATAACAAATGTAAACATCAATGCCAGCGGATCAACGTGATGTACATGTGCTTTGAGCGCTACAAGGATAAGAATTCTACTTCTGGTATAGTCTGGAAGTGGTCCTTCTGCTGGGGGTGCTGGGGGTCACGCGTGTCTGTTGTAACGTTCCACTGCTCCCTACTGGCCAGGTGCTAGAACTACATTGTTTTCTGTCATTGTGTAGACACTGCACTCCGGATTGGGAGCCTGGTTGTTTGCAAAATGCTTTGCAGCGACTCCGTAGCGTCTCTGTCTAAACGAGGCTGATTTGGTTAAGCGCTCTCCGTGATCCTGCTGGAAAAGGGGAATTGTTCACATTTGTCAAATTAATCCTATTCCTAAACGATTCGAGGGTTTATATTTATATATGTACAATGGAAAATAAAGGCAGATATTCGAGTATGATCTTGTTCTATGCCAAGATTAGTCAGGACTATGCGGAGGCAGCGGTTATTTGACTAGACGTCATGACTCTCTATCAATCTGAATTCCCAGAACTACTCTTCCAAAATATCATGTTATGTGTGTGTGCGCTAAAAGTACACACAACAAAACCACTGCATGAGGAGCTCCTTCACTGGAAGACTGAGGCACCCTCATTGCAAACAGGAGCGCTGCTGCAGGGCCTGCATCCCTAATTCTGTCAGAGTGTACAACAAGTCACTTTAATGACTTTAATGACTAGTCCCATTTATCTTTGTATTGTACATAATGTCTTGCACAGAAGAGACTATTTTTAACCTTTGTAACATGTTTGCACTCTTCCTGTCTTTTTGCACAATCTGCGTAAGGATTCTAACGTGACCTGTAAATTTCCCCATTATGAGATCAATAAAGTTGGGGGCGACAGTAGCTCAGTTGGTAGAGCATTGGCCTTTGAGCCTGAAGGTCGTGGGTTCAAGCCCACCGTAAGACCTACTTCACGACTCGCACTGATGACTGCTTTGCCTGAAGCTCCCACTGAAAGATCTCAGCTCCTGTGGACTCACCACCTGCAGGAGGATCAGTGAGGGGCTGGTGCTCTGTGTACTGGGTGGCATCTCTGGCCACCCCCCCAACCCAGAAATGGATTAAGGGGAAGAAAATGGATGGATGGATGGATAAAGTTTATCTTATCTAATCTTCTCAATATTGTCATCCAAACTGATTCTGATTCTTAAGAGTATAAGGATTCCGAAAATACATAATTTTACATATCTCCCGAAAACAAAAGAATCCATCGGGACATATAGTCCTTGACTTAATGCTCATGTGCATATATAGTTCTCCTTTAGGGAGGTTTTAGCTGTGATGCAAAGTCATGTCGCTAGAGGGCAGCAGTGCAGTGTGATGGCTCTTTCCTCTGAGCCAAACGAGGCTCGTGCACTGGGGCACACTTCGAAGGTTCCACTTTTATCTGAAGTTTAAAACATAATCATCGTGTGTTTGTTTCTCTCTGGTATTATTTTAAACGTGGAATTTAAACTGTATTTTTTAAAAAGAGCCAGGCGCACAGCAGGTGGCGCTGTGCACCGCGTCTCGACTTTTTGGTTCATTAAACAGTTATACATCTGTCATTTTCTCTGATGGAACCACTGGTTTATCATGAATCTCAGTCTTTAGGAGAGTCCTCATGTCCTGCACACGCTCAGGCCCCAGGGGAACCTCTATCTGCTCATCTCTTTCTCAGGGTCCTGTCCGCCGCCACCTCCTGAATCACAATGGAGCTACGGGGGGTCTTTGAATGGCTTCTATACAGTGTCGTCTGCAGCGCCTGCTCTTAAAAAAACATTGCATAAAAACAAAACACAGGACGGTCTGGCTCCAGGATTAATGACCATTGTGTCCGTGTCGGTTATGAAACTATCTGGATTTGAATTCATGCGTTTGGACCGTAACTGTCTCCAGCGGCTGCAGGACCCGGATGGACAGGTAAATGCAAATGTTGTGCGTAAAAACAAGTCAGTGATGGTAAAGTATGCGTGCAGAGGCTGAAGGCTGCTTTGTAACCACTGACTCCAGCCTGCAGCGCCAGAAGGAGGGGGCAGGAACAGCCAATGAGAGGCCGCCTGCAGCACAGCGCCTTATAACTGTGTCACAGGAGGTGAGCAGCGCCACAGCCGAGTCCCGCGTCTGGAGAGTTCCTTTGGATTTACAGCGCGCACAACACAGTAAAGAGCAGTGGACTTTTGCTTTGGAGCTGTTCACCATGAGCGCCGCACAGACCTACGAGAAGAAGATCTCCAGTATTCTGACAGAGCTTCCAGGATCTATGGGATGCCACCCGAGCTCCAAGGACTCCCCAACTCTGCCCGAGTCCTCCGTGACGGACATGGGCTACTACAACAGCCACCACGAGTACTACCAGGGCCAAGCGTACGGGCAGCCCATCAACCCATACCACCACCAGTTTAACCTAAACGGGATGGGTGCAGGAGCCTACCCCACCAAGTCAGAGTACCCGTACACGAACAGCTACAGACAGTATGGACATTACAACAGAGACCACCTCCAGGCGTCGCCTCCGATATCAGGTAAGAGCTGCTGCGGACTCGGTTCACATCTCCCTCTCTGTGCGTTTATGGATGATACATTGTGGCTTTAACAAATATTTTGGCTCTGTCATGAAACAATGATTACATTATTTTGAAGTGTCAGTTTTGGAACAGGTCTGTGCAAGTGTTCTTTATTTCGACTGCATTTGACAAAAACAGATATTTCCGACCTATTTTCTGATACTGGGATAAAACATTACAAACACTAATGACACGATTTCCCCCAATTGTAGTTAAAGAGGAGCCAGAGCCAGAAGTTCGAATGGTGAATGGAAAACCAAAAAAGATTCGCAAACCAAGAACGATCTACTCGAGCTACCAGCTCGCCGCGCTGCAGAGGCGCTTCCAGAAGGCGCAGTACCTCGCACTGCCCGAGAGAGCGGAGCTCGCTGCTCAGCTCGGCCTGACCCAGACACAGGTGAGAGGCTCACATCTACAACTGCCGCTGTTTAACACGGACACTTTTGTTACGTTAAGTTAAGTTAGAGACACACGTATTCAGGGCAGTGTGTCCTTCGTGCGCCATGTGCGTGACAGCGCACCGCGGCTTTGACTGTCTGATTTGTTTATGCATAACCAGGATTTCAAACCAGGATTCTATCATATCTAATAATGATAGCTGCAAAAAGTTAATTCAACAAGTGACTTTTCACAATACATAATAGTGCACTAACACGCACACGACAACTGTCCTTGTTTAGACTTTACTGTTGAAATATAAATTAGACTTTAGAGTTCAGATACAAATTAGACTCTATGGTTCAAATATAAATTGGACTTATAGTGTAAATATAAGGCCTCTAACTGAGACTAACGCTGACATGTGTCCTCAGGTGAAGATCTGGTTCCAGAACCGACGGTCCAAGTTTAAGAAGCTGTACAAAAACGGAGAGGTTCCCCTGGAGCACAGCCCTAACGCCAGCGACTCCATGGCCTGTAACTCCCCTCCCTCCCCCGCGGTGTGGGACAGCAGCAGCAGCAGTACGCCACAGAGCAGCGCGCTCAGCCGGGCCCCCGGAGCGCCTCAGGCCGCACACAGCAGCGCGTCTCCCCCGTACATGGAGGACTATAGCAGCCACTGGTACCAGCAGGGATCCACGCACCTACAGCACCCCGGGCCCGTGCACCACGCAGTGCCGCCGCAGAGCGTGGGCGCGGTGTACTGAGATCCACAGACATGTGTTTGAGAGACTGACGCACAGCCTCACGCACGGCCTCACGCACGGCCTGGACTTGCGCCGTCTGCTCCGTCTGCAGACTGGACAAACACGGGATTTGTTGCTCGTGGCAGCGTATTTAACGGACAATGGCGTGGTTTACTAAATTATTTATCACTTATGTTCTGTTGTATTCTTTTTTTAAAGCAGTTTTACCAACGTAAGAAATTATTCAAAGTCCTGCATGAGGGGTTTGTGACGAGGCATCATAAAAACTCAGGTCTATTTATACTGTATGGATTTGTACAAAGAAAACGTGGAAGGTTGTAAATATGTGTTTATATGAGAACCACTAAGATCTTATTCCTTGGAAAGACTGCACCGTGGTGCTCCTTTTATATACATGTCATTAGTCCACTTGTTGCCTTGTTGCTGTCAACTGAATAAAGATGTTAATTAGATTTTGTGTGTCTAACACTTCTTTAACCTGATCAACGTCTGGCGCAACTTCGCCCAATAAACACCAGGAACAAATGTTTAGTTACTGAGACAAACAGGTCAGTTTTGGGCGACAGGGAGAGAAAATCAACATTATGTTTTGTCTCTATCAAGAAAAAGAAAACAATATGCAGGATACAAAAGTGACCTACATTTGATGAAAACAAAAGTAAATAAGGTCCGTGTGGCCCAAGTGTACAATAATGAGTTGTTAAAGTAAAAGGTTAGTGCTCAAATAAAAGGTAAATTACTATTGTTTTTTTTTTTAGAGGACATGCGTATTCATGAACAGCAGGAGATTTAAATACTAAAGTTAAAGTTAGTGCTAAAATAAAAGGCAGGGAACACTTCAGGACTCCGGGTAAAGGCATGTGTGCGTGTGTGGGCGCCGAGCTGCGTGCAAAGAGCTGCAGTAGGAGGCGACACACTCGCAGACATGTTGGAGTCTCTCTTTTATTACTATTCTGTTGCCAGATAACAAGGAGAGCCGTGCGAGTGCGCGCGCACACTGACGGACGTCTAATAAACGGCGTTTGTCATTTCTTTGATGTCTTTGACTTTGTTTCATTGGCGTGAACTCTGCAGATCCTCAAACCTCCCATGTTCCAGAAGAACAGGTTAGTCCTGGTCCCTATGGCGCACGTGCACGTGGCGTTCAGGACATCAGTCCATCTCTGTGCGACACACTGAGGACCCACTGAGAACCTCCTGAGGACCTACTGAGGACCTACTGAGGACCTACTGAGGACCCACTGAGAACCTCCTGAGGACCTACTGAGGACCTACTGAGGACCCACTGAGAACCCACTGAGGACCTCCTGAGGACCTCCTGAGGACCCACTGAGAACCTCCTGAGGACCTACTGAGGACCCACTGAGAACCTCCTGAGGACCTACTGAGGACCTCCTGAGGACCTCCTGAGGACCCACTGAGAACCTCCTGAGGACCTCCTGAGGACCCAGTGAGGACCTCCTGAGAACCCACTAAGAACCTCCTGCAGAAGCAGTCATGACTAAGTCACAATGACTCCTTGCTTTAAAACCCAAATATCTGTCGTTTCATAAGAAAGTAGAAATAATAAGGATGACATTTTAAAACAGAGTCAGTGACTTGAAATACAAACAGTGTCATGGACATTTACAGGTTGTAGAGGTTAGCTGTGCTTCTAAGTTAATTAAAGGTGGATAGCCATCTTCTAAACTCGAATAACGGCTGGATTCGGCTTTCTGTTATGTATATTTTCTTATTAATTTTTTGTGTGAAAATACTGAAAGAACTGTTGTTTAAGTGAATAATATCTGTTTCAAAGACATTTGACTTATTTTGCTTCATTACAAAGTTATTGGTTTTTGGTTTAAGGGAGTGACGTCACACTTTCTGCAGATACTTGTATATATACTGCAGCTGTGAGTCTCTGCCTGCATCAGACTGGGGTCAGATACAGCAGCATTTCCAAGGTATGAATATCATCAATGATGTGTCATTATTGTGGGCGACTTCAAAGCTGCTAAGATTAGTTAAACAATTAAGCCGCACAATAAATATTCTTGGAACTATAATCGTTTCTCTTGTTACATTATGGTTTACAAACAATTATCACTCAACCAAGGTGAGTTCTGGCAGATTCCAAAATAATTGGCCCATAAAAGAAACAGAGCAAACTGTAATTATTGTTGTCGTTCTTCAGTCACTAACAGGCGTCAGTATTTTGGGATAATCTCAAGTCAAACCCATGGCCTACTTATTGTGAGAACTGCAAGTGTGTCTAAACAAACACTCAAATACATTTCATTTGTGTGTGATACTGATCTAAAATGTTGTGAAACTCAAAATAACGTGTGAAACCAATTTGATTTCTTTTTTCTTTTTATATTTTGGCAGCAGTAGCTTTTACGCAGTAAATAGACCTACATTGTAAACTGAGTCCAAATTTGCACTGCCCTATTCCACAAATACAAATGTATATGTAAAAAGCATATGTATTTGGTAACTACGTTCTATACACATTTCTAAAGACGTATTGAATGTAAATGTTCAAACAAGACAATAGGCAAACATAACCTGCCAAACCCACAATTATAATAAAGAAAAACAACAACAACAACAACTTTCCCCCCAATTATTGTTCTCAAAAGCAGCGGCCCTAAAACACGTCCCTGAAGGCCTCCTTTCAGAATTCCCCTGCTCTCCAGTTGCCTGCAGTCTCCGTCAACAAGCCGAGGCAGTGCTCTTTCACTCGCTGATTTGACAGAAGCTCTGTAATGACTATTGGCTTTTGATATAATGAAATCTCATCAAGAGTCGGTGTGAGGCTCCTCTGCGGCTCCCTCAGCTTGTGTGGCCCTGAGCTCCGCTGTCGGGGGGAAACATTTGCGTCGACGACAAACGTGTGTGCTCGCTGCACTTGCTACTTTAGTGTGTGTGGGCCGGCAGCACGTCCATATATGTGTCATCTCTGGGCAGAAACAAGTGTGAGCAGCCGATGAGATGGGCCTGAACTGCTGAACCTGAATGTGATCCTCAGATACAGCAGGAGTCCGGCCTGGTGCAGTCCCATGCCCTTTCTGCCGGTCCCATGGGTGCCAGGGAGCCGGGGTTGAGGTGGAGGTCGGGATGAGGGGAAAAGCATCTATGGAAAGACTTCAAGCAGCTGTCCAACACTGAGAATGCACATTATGATCACTCACTGCTTCATTCTGCTGCAAACAGAGGATATGAAGGGAGCGGAGAAGCATCTCTGACATGTTGAACTGACTCTGACCCCATCAGGCCCTCAGTAACTGACTCACAAACACTGTTGTTTGGGTCAGAAACTACTGTCTGAGGCACAGTATTGGTGATAATTCACTTATATTAATTTAAATGTATTTGGCCCTAAATCACAACAGCGGTCAGAGGATTTTAAAAATGGTTGATTCGCCAACATCAGTTCAGAGAACCAAGTGTGTATACTTAATTACAAACTCCAGTATGATAAGAAGAAATAGCTGTGAGATATATATCTCTCTCTCACTCACACACACACACACACACACACACACATTTTGTCCTGTTTATGTGACTTTTTCAGTATAGTTGATATAATATAATGTTGTTTCCGAAATAAGTGTAGTTTTAGTATTGAGTTTTAAATGTTTTTTGAAACGGTAGACAACCACACTCTGGGCTATTATGGTTTGCCAGGAATATTACATAGAATTTTTTGAAACTGTTTTAGGCCATCGATTTCACAGTGACATTTGTTTACTGTTTTATTTGTTTTATTTCTGTCTTTTAATGTTGTTTTATGTCTGTATTTGTTCGTGCACACTGGAGACTTTTTGCTAATGTGTTCCAATGTGTTTTTTTTTACTGCAAATGGCAAATAAACTGAATCTGAATCTGAATTTGAGAATATCTTTGGTAACACTACAGCCAACAGTATATTTAGGCAATACTTTTAATATTTCAAACATTCCTGACATTGCAATGCATTTAAATGAGTTAAAATGACTGCGTCTCCCTCGTCAGCCCAAACCTACTGCACCTTGACATTATGGAGGCCTTCATTATGGGGGACTTCAACAAAACATAAACCCGTTCATTAATCTAAAGCAGCACTGCGCCCGCACTAAAGGCCATTGTATCCATTCTTCTGCCGCGGGAAGCAGCTCACAATTACAACCCAAGATGTCAGATCACTCAAGTTAATGACAATAATAACCCTGGGGACCTTCGTTGCCAATCGTCCATTCAAAGCAACCACCGGGTTTTAATACTACGCTATTTTGCTCCTTATACTGCAATTAATGCCTGCCTGACACCTCATATCTGAAAACCCCGCAGCAGGCCGTTGATAAGCCGCTTGTTATCATTACCTTCCTGCTTTTAACATGCCCATTACACTGGAGCTCTTTCACGGTGCCTTCATTCTGTGATAATTGGCCCTCGCGTTTGTTTGAATGGCCCTCGTCCTGTCTGTCTGTCCGACTCTGCACACGCCATTATTCTAATCTGGAGATGTAAAATTGCCTGTAATTTTCCCTGATGCGCCGTCACTTGGTTAAAGCGATGCCCGCGTCTTCCTTCTCTCCCAAAGCCGTGTTCACACCGCGCGTCACGGCCAAGAATGAGGCGCTGTGTGTTCACCGATATAAAGGATGGAGAAATGTAACATGGATTTATGCAAGAGAATGACGCGGACCAGGCAGATTTTGGGGTAAATAGTGGTTTGCGCAGTGAGCTTGCCTCTTGGATGAAGGTAAGATGCTTTTGTGGATGATTGACTGCGTGCGTAAAGCGTTAGAAAGACATATAGTGCACGGAAAACTATATATACAAAGGCTAATAGTAAAGATCTGACAAAAATATGTTGTTTATTAATATAGTCATTGTCAGGGCGTGTTAACGTGAGGCCCGCAGCACGTTTTGAGTAATGATGCAGTGAATGTTCACATGTAAAAGCAAGGTCTTTACGTGTGACATCAGTGCTATGTTACGCTTGCCAGACAGCTGCAGGCTTGTGATTAATGAAAAAGATAAAAGAAGCCATTAGGCGTTTAAAAACATGACAAAAATTACAGCTAGTCCTCGTGAAATAGTGCTCCATTAGCATCTACGGCCCAGACCAACAGAAGTTTTTGGAAAGTGCGCAAGTTGCAGAAAGAAAATGTGCAAAATCAGTGCAAAAGGTCATAAATCAGGGCTAAAGTTTACGGAGAGGCTCCAGCAGACATTTATCATCCAGCCCTGACAACAGGTCCTGGTACAAAAAAGAAAAAACAGAAAAATTGTATCTGTCTGGTGAACACTGGGGACTTTTGCGGATGATTCCAATGTGGTTTTACTGCAAATGGCAAATGTACTGAATCTGAATCTGGATCTTGATAAATGCAGATACCATTGAAAAACAAACAGTTTGCCAGTGCGTAATGGGTAGTTTTCACACGTTATCACACGTTGCTTCAGGAAACGGAAGAGTCCATAAATGATCTCTATTCACAATAATCTCTATTTAAATATGTCTCATTTTAAAACGTCCAATTATTACAATGTACATGGGATACTTTTTATCCCATGTGCGTAATGTGTGACCATGTATCGCTGTAATCAATGCATGCCTATCTTACACATTGTAAAGAGCTTTCAAAATAGATTCTCGCTTTGGAGGAAAGTCTTAAAAAGCACAAGACGACAGAGGCAGTTTAAGTTTTGCAGTCTTTTTTATGTCTGTAAACTGCCCTCACGCGTTATTATCACACTTGGCTTTTTCACAAGGCGTCCGACGGCTGTGGCCACTATTACAAAGACATGAAACGCAGTGAAAAACATTGTTCAAAAACACATAACACAAACACACACACACACACACACACATCATATATAACAATAGAAGAAAAGGTAGAGTTCCAAGCAGTTTCACATCATTTGGGGCCTGGGCATCGCGTCCTGGTGGTGGTGGTGCGGGTGGTGGTTTGGATACCAGTGCCCAAAAGTGTTCATGTAATTGTTCGGGTGCATTTGCGCGCCTTTGTTCGCCATGGAGACCTCCCAGAGCTGAGGCAATCCGGGCGAACACGGAGAGATAGAGTTGGCAGTGCTGTGGAGATGCTCGCCCTCTGATCCGCTGCCATGCTTCATTATCTTTTTGTACTTGGAGCGCTTATTTTGAAACCATATTTTCACCTGTAAACGGACAGAAGTTCAGTTCAGTTCAGTATATTAAAAATACAAATTTAAAAACATGTAACAGTCATTTCATAGTTAGTGACTTGGCATATTTGTTGACGCCATTGAATCAACTTTTAGTTTATATATGTGACCCAAGACATTACACAACACTAAAAATATTTAATTCACTATTTCCTTTAAACATACCTGCCTAGCTATACAAACTATAATCTATACATTTAAAACTCAATATATCTCAATTATATACTTATTTAGCTTATATATGTGGCTCTAGACATTACACCACTCAAAAAAATATAAACTAATTCATTATTTCCTCAACTTACCTGCCTACCATTCAAAACTCCCTATATAATGTACTTTTTATTAGATTAAATTTATAAAATGCATTAGCGCACTTTTATCTAAGTGCATGATTCTACAAACAAAGAGACTTCAGCTAGGATTACTATATTTCCCAATGAGTTTGATTTTTAGTTTCTTTTCGTCATGGACACAGTGGATTTTCTAAGAACACACATCATTGTCAGTGTGTGAGCGGTCGGCGGTGAAAGGGTTTTTATGAGCACATTTTCCTCTAGTAAAAACTCAATATGCTTTTCAACGTTGGTTTTAACTGGAGGATTTGAACAATGCAAAAGGGGAAAGTCCTTCATAACGCCAATGCGTGCGTGTTGGCTTAGCAAATCCAAGGCTTATAATAGCAGGCCAAGGTTGAGTTGCACCGCTAATCCACGCTAACTCCCATTGTTCCTGCTTTATGGCTCCATCATGGCCAGTTTATGTAGTAATAAGTGAGTGAATTTTAGCTAATTCGTAATAAAATTTCTATATTTAAACTGCAACAATGCTGTGAGTTCAAATGGCCTATAACAGATAATAATCCAATATATACAGGAATTTCTTCTGATCCACTGCTTCTAAAAGCAGCTCAAATGACAGACGCAGATTGGTTTGTTTGTCTGTTTTGAAGCTGTCAGAGTCTCCCGTCATAAAGACTGCTGGTATCACACAGGCCTAATACTGCGACAAGTGACGAGCTGCTTTTTTGCGCTCTTTTATCTGTTGTGCCTATAATGGGTTGTTGACAGCGGCGCGTGCACCTGTCTCTAAACAGTGGAATTAAATATATCATGTCAGATGGTAATTGGGACAGCACGCAATTTTCACAAATGTGTTTGATTATCATCTGACAAGCGGGACGTCTCCAGGCCAGAAACAATGCGGATAGATAGGCATATGATAAAGACGGATTATGTAGAACAGATTTGGAACATCATAAAATTAAAATATGTGAAATCATTACATTTTCTATTCGGAGTCGGTTACTCGTTTACGCCTGCGCCAGTAATCAGATGAACTTGAACTGAAGCTGGAGTGTTAGCATCTTAAATAAGGATGCATTATGGGATTGAGTTACAAACGACAATTATGTGATTCGTTTGATCTTGTTGGGCTCTGTGATCCTCCTGAGCAGATAGAGATAAGGCGTTTCCTCTGAAGCTAATAACTATAACATCCTCTGTCCACAAACACCAGGGACTTATCCACAACTGTAACACGGCCATTTGTCTCTTTTCAAAATGCCTTTTATTCTGGAGGATCCTGGGTCATGGTCGTGCTCACCTGAGTCTGCGTGAGGCCCAGTTTGGCGGCCAGGTCCGCGCGCTCCGGTAAGGCCAGGTACTGGGTCTGCTGGAAGCGCTGGTGCAGCGCCTGCAGCTGGAGGCTCGAGTAGATGGTTCTGGGTTTACGGATTTTCTTTCCTTTGCCGTTCAGGCGAATATCTCTGCTCTCAGGCATCACTGTGGCTTTGTCCCGGTCTGAAACACACACGCACACGCGCGCGCACACACACATACACACACACACACACATACACACACACACACACACACACGGAGCGTTACTTCTCAAGGCCTCTCACACATCAGGCCTGAATATTGTAAAGGCTGATTTTACTCTCATCGTTTAAAACTCATTTAAAACTATTAGTCTTAATATAAACAATACTTTATTGTAGCATAATGTTCATTTTAATATTGAATGTTTGGAACACAGTGTTCAATATCCTATTATTATTATTATTATTATTATTATTACTATTACTATTACTATTATTATTATTATCATTATTATTACTATTACTATTATTATTATTATTATTTATATTATTTGTATTATTATTATGTTATAATTATTGTTGTTATTATTGATAATAATAATACTGTTGATAAAATAAACAATAGCCTAATACTATTAATAATAATAGCCCCATAACAACAATAATAATAACAGCCTAATAAAAACAACAACATTATAATTCGGCCTACAGCAATAACAACAACAGCTCAGGTCTTCAGTCAGAGTCAGACCCGGAGCATGTTGGATAAACAGGGTCAAAATGAATGACTTTATGACTTTCAATCACAGACACGAGCGTGAAACGTGCGTCTGACTGAAGTTAACTTGAAAACTGCTGCTGTTACTGCTGCTGTTTCTGCTGCTGTTACTACTGCTGTTACTGCTGCTGTTACTACTGCTGTTACTGCTGCTGCTACTGCTGCTGTTACTACTGCTGTTACTGCTGCTGTTACTGCTGCTGTTACTACTGCTGTTACTGCTGCTGTTACTGCTGCTGCTACTGCTGCTGCTACTGCTGAGCACATGACCCCGGGCTCCGACATGAAGTCTACCCAAACAAGAAGCCACTCGCCCCGGACACGTACCTGAGAGCTGAGCCCTTCCGTGCGCGAGGGCGCCGCTGGGACTGTGTCCGTGCGCGTACGACATGTACGCGGACGGAGGGTGAGCGCTGACCGGGCTGGGGTACGGGTATCCCAGGGAGCGTCCATATGAAGACCCGGTGGGGAAGGGGCTGTCGTGCTGAGAGTGTCCCGCAGCGTGTAGCCCGTGGACCGGGTAGATGTGGGACAGTCCGGGGGAGGGCTGCTGGTGCGGGTGAGGCGGGTGTCCGTGGGCGAACTCCAGGAAGGCGGATTTGGACGGGTCTGTGGCGTTGAGGCTGTCAGGCGTGAAACCCATCGACATCATTAGCGCAGATACGAGTCCATTAAAAGTACCGCTGTGAGAACGCGCTCAGTTTGACAAAAACAAGTCTTTGTTCAGGTCCAAGCCTCAGAGCCGCGCTCAGGAGGAGGGCAGAGCCGCAGCATAGCGGACATTTTAGCACTTTGACCAAAAGTGCATCAAACCCAGTGGCTCTGGCGCAGAGGCGCTGACACGGCTCACACACCTCCTGCGACTCACACTCAGACTGCTGCACGAACACTGCTCTGATTGGTCCAATGCAGCTGTCACAGCCGCGCGCTCATTTACATACGGCACTCCTGCACGCGCACGCACATGTCCTCTATATCGTATCTGAGACATGGGATTGAAATGTGCTCTCGTGATGTCACATTATATGTAGAACAATGTTACAGTAAATGAAGACGGAGGCTGTAATGATACGGACTAAACATTTATTAGGAACATTAAGTTAGTCACGATATTTAACACACGTGCCTGTCTAGACTGTGTTAGAATAGAAATGTTTAATTGGAATAAATGTGTGTTTGATGAAAAGCATTATAGTAAATGAACTCACCTTGCATCAGAGCCGATGCAGTTTACAGGCTGCAGATGGCATGTCTCTCATAGGCATGAAATCAACTAATTCATCATCAATATTTGTACAACAGACCAGACAAAGTGCTAAACAAGTAAAAAAACATTATAAATAATGCAAATAATGCAGCAATAAACCATAAAAACACAACAAATACAAACAATCAATTATATATGTTTTGTATCGAAAACTGTCTCTTGTTCTTTGGGGCTGAAAACCAAGTCTTATTTCTGTCAGTGTCATAACTAACTCACACAAGTCATATCTTACATCAGACCTTTATGATTTATAGTTGAGCAAAAGGAAATCGCGACAAACAAGATGTAGAAGTTAATGAAGTGTGCAAAACTGTGACACACTTTATTATGATAACAGAATACACAGCAGGACATAGACAGTTGAACACACACACACACACACACACACACACACACACACACACACACACACACACACACACACACACACACACACACACACAAACTCCACAAACGACCAACACAACATTTGAGAGATGCACTGTTTCCACACGTCACTCAAACGCAGCTGTGGCGTTGGAAAAACCGCGGGCAGAGAGACGGGGGATTGAGCCAACTCAGCATCACTTACACGGAACATGGAGGACATAGAGCCACCGAACCCGTGTTGTTTGTACTGAGCATGAAGGCGAGGAGACGGCTCAGGTGAAGGCAAACACCAGGCCCGGTCCATAAAGACACGCTTGTTCCTCTCCGGGCCTGATTGAGGCAGCACATGTCTCACAGAGTTGACCTTTCATCTTCGCCCAAATTACACTTAAGCCTCAGTCAGAATCTCGGACAGTTTGTGCTGCGTTTTTCCCTGAGTCTCCAAAACCCCGTCATTTCGGTCATGTCCCCTCCACTCCCCCCCTGCTGCGTCCTGGACTATACGCGCGGCCTGCATGCATGGGGGGGTGGGGGGTGGTTGGGGTGCATGGCTGGAGCGCGTCCCAAGCCTCAACCAGCCATGAACCAAGCCACAAATTATTATCATAGTGAAGATACGGTCGCAGTAAAAGTGTGTGAAGCAGCGAGAACAGATGTAAATGTTTCACAGAGAGGTATATTGTTTTTATCACCGCAGTTTTGTGGATGTGTTATAGGAGTCACAGCCGCATTAATTATGATTTGCGTGCAGATCGTGACGCACGTTTGTAAGATTCAGATTAAGATGAGATTCTTTAATCGTTCCACAGTGGGGAAATTTCAGGGTTGCATCAGCAGTTACAGAACAGTATATGAACAGGAGCGCACAAGTCTATACTAAATAAAATAAAATAAACTTAAAAATCTTTCTAATGCATAGAAATAAGCAGTATAAAATCTCTAGCAAAACGAGAACAAAAACGATTGTACAAACTATTATTAAACCATTTGTTGCTTAATATGCTTTTATACGTTTCTATTAACACTAGGACTCCCAGAATTCTGAGACTAAGACCTCGCAGAGCAGTCATTTTGACGGGTCCCATTCAAATGATTGGAATTTTGGGGGAAATGTTTTTTATTTTTTATTTTATTTCACTGCTTTTATCAATATTGTTATAAAATGTGTAATTGAAAAGTAATTAGACCTTTAAAACACGATAAATCTGGTTAATACAAACCTAACACAGGAAAACGAAATGCTAACTGATGCAAGTAAACAGTGCGTTGCTATGGTAACAAGCAGTCGCTCCAAACTGAAATTGCGCTGAACCAGTCCCTGGGGTCGAGAACATGTCATAAACATAATGACATAGAAATGAACTACATATAGAAAAAAATCTGTTTTGGAAAAGAAAAAAAACACACGGAGTAATTACACTTCCAAAATGAGAAGCCGTCAAAGTGACTGCTCTCGGAGTGTTAAAGTGTTTATAAATAATGAAGAAGAAATGATGAGTGTTTTGTGAAAATGTGGTGAGCACGAGGTTAGAAATGGTCCAAAAGCAAAACACTCTTCAGACAGGTCTTATAGTAATAGTTTAATGTCTTAATAAGAACGCATTATTCTTTGTATGATTTACATTTGTTAAATAAAACATTCACACACGCTTTTAAAGTTTTATTACATAATGAGGAGCACTTAATTCAAAGTGTTGCCCTGCGTGTTTCAAATGACCATGTATGCCAGGGTTTAATTAGACCGTCTGGATCTGAAGCGTGCCAGAGATGCAGTAGAAATAGAAAAAATAACAACAATAAATCATTATCTTCGAACAGCTATTTGCCCTTTCTGTTTTGATCACAGGTGCCAACAACAACAGCATGTCTGTGGCTTTGGCCCAACACAATATCTCGTCACATGGAACCGCGCTGGGTCCGAGGGGGAGACCGCAGAGACCCGGGCCTTCCTCCTGCAGTCCCCCACCCCCATGTCCCCCACTCCCCGTCCCCCACTCCCGAGCGCTCTGTGTCGGGTGCGAATGTGTGTCAGCGTGGATCCGTGCCAAGCCGCGCTACACGACCTACAATAATCCAGGTATACGTGCCCTTTAATTATTCTGCACACATCAAACGCCTCTGTACCCTCTGGTCCTCGGGCAAGGATGAGTCCGATTCTTACGCACGGCACGCACGCACGCACGCTTGGCTCGGCGTGAGCAGCCGCCAGCCTCTGCAGACTCCGCGGCGCCTTCTCTCCCGCTCTCAGTGCATCTGCCGAGGTGTGTTCCCATAGGTGTGTTCTGCAGTCTCTCCCTCTCCCTCCTCTCACTAATGGCGCCTGTCCATCATCCTGCTTCCATGTAGAGCGACAGCATTCTTTTGTGTACAAACCAAAAGCACATTCCCACAAGGCAACGGCCGCGGCTGTGATCTTCCACACGGGCACGTCATGTTTTACAAGGGAGGCTCTGTCACCGGGGCTCGTGATGAAGCCGCCTGTGAGAGAGCCTCCACAAGTCCACAAGTATAATGACCCAACAAGTATAATAGCAGGGAGGAGCGGCCGCGCACAGAGACCCCGCTGACCTGACGTGTCCAGTCGGGGTATAACGGGAGCTTTGACGCGCGCACCCCGGCAGAGACATCACTCGTTCTGACCGGTCCGGTTACGGGCCTGTCATGAGAGACACGTGGACGTGGTTAAACGTCTTATATGTAACAGATTGAACTGGCCAGACGTCAGGGGAATGGTGCTGTTTATAGTCACGTTACAACCATCACAAGAAGCATCAAATATATATTAGTCAAATAAACATGGGCGTTATTAAAGATGAACCCTTTAATGTTCACCTTGATATATTTATTTCTTTTTTGGATTTTCTAAGATGGAGGAGCACTAATAACACAAATAATGTGGGTTTTTTTCTTGAACCCCTATAGTTTTTCTTATTATAGACCTTTACCAAATGGCAGAGATACAGTTTGATTTGAAAGTGCCTAAAACCAAGTTCCAAGCTTCAAGTCGATAGTGACTCAAAAAATGATCTTCCAAATGAAACATCAAAGGGTTGAGAGATCCCAGTGTGGGGAAAATAACTAACCTTAAACAGAAGAAAATATAAAATACTGTATATTCTAGTGTGAGAATTATGTATTTCAGCGTCTTCCTGAAAATGTGAGACATGCCTCTAAATCCGGGCGAATCAACTTATTATGGTCATATTTAAGACTGTGATGTACAATAATTTTGATGTCGAAAGCTCAGAGATTATGGGATTTTTATTCATTTGACCAAAACAAATGGTGTCACTGGGAACCTGTCGCACATCGGGATGGTTGACTGAAAATACTTTCACCTGCAGTCATTCGAGAATTATCGGAGTCATAAAACCTATGCTTAAAAGATCGATTACTAAATGACGTGTTAAATATTTGAATAATTGGTTATTTACAATTCTCATAAACATTTATTGAAATATTGATGTGAATCCTAACCCCACTTTGAACACAAAAACAATAACAATGAATCTGTTAAAGGTAATGTCTTTAACTTCATCCTCAACCCTTTCAGGCTGTAAAACTGTCGCTTTGTTTTGACTTTTAAATTTACTTTTGACGGCTTCATGCTATAGTTCTGTTATTCTTTCATATCCTCCAGACTCAACCTCTGCAACAGTCTCTCATACGGCCTTCCTTCGTCTGATCTCCAAAACTGCAATATGTCCAAAACTCCGCCGCCCGCCTCATCACCCGCTCCAGAGAACACATCACCCCTGTCCTTCATGAACTCCACTCAAACACCGCATCCGTTTCAAAATCCTCCTCATCACCTTCAAAGCCCTCCATAATCTCGCTCCTCTACACCTCACTGAACTTACAGCCCTACAGTACTCCTCACTCCCACTGTCAAGTCCAAGCACCGAGCCATGGGGGACCGAGCATTCGCCCTCTCTGCTCCCACTCTCTGGAACTCTCTCCCCCTCCATCTCAGAAACTCAGACTCACGAAACTCCTTCAAAAAACAGATAAAAACTCACCTGTTCCTCCAAGCATACGACTCTTAGTTTCAGATTGATTTCCTGTTTCTTTCCTGTTTTTAGATTTTTAGTATTGTGTGTCTGTCTAAACGTGTGTGTGTCCTGAATTGTGAAGCGTCTTTGAGTTTTTGAAAAGCGCTGTATTATTATTATTATCATTAGGTCAAAAACAGTAAACAATATTAAATGTATATTTACACAGGGGAAATATTGCTCAAAAGTCCATTTACTTCTGTTATTCAACTTACAAAGTGAAACTAAAATATGACACACACACACACAGTGGGATGCTATCAGCCTTTTTTTTTAATTTTTATATTGCTCATTGTCTCACGGTATAAACCTAAAATAAAACATCTTAAAAACAGATTATGTTGAGACTGTGAGCCCCAATCATCAACATTTTATTGTTGTGTGTGTTTTTGGGGCAGAGCTGTGGCAGAGTGTGGATATCGGATCGAAACCTGAATCGTGTCTTAACTATTCAGTGTCTCGGACCGAAACATTTCATTGACATTATTCACAAACCCGTAACAAATGGCAGTTGTAAATCTAATGATACATTTCCACTGCGATGAAGACAAGTTATAATTGAAATGTTTCTGCTGTCCCCTCCTTTCTCCCTTTGTCTGTTCAGGATCCACTCAGAGCTACGCCTCATCTCTCTGTCACGCGCAGCATCGGAGCAGTTATTTCAGTCTTTTGTGAGGACCAAGCCTAAATAATGCAAACAATAGATCTGATGTTTGGAAGCGCTCGTGTGGTGTCTGAAGCCGGAGCAGAAGAGGAAGGAGGCCTTTAATCTCTGCTGCAGGCTCCATCAGCAGGACCATCAGCAGGGCCATCAGCAGGGCCATCAGCAGGGCCATCAGCAGGTTCCATCAGCAGGGCCATCAGTAGGGCCATCAGCAGGGCCATCAGCAGGGCCATCAGCAGGGCCATCAGCAGGGCCATCAGCAGGGCCATCAGCAGGTTCCATCAGCAGGTTCCATCAGCAGGGCCATCAGCAGGGCCATCAGCAGGGCCATCAGCAGGGCCATCAGCAGGGCCATCAGCAGGGCCATCAGCAGGTTCCATCAGCAGGTTCCATCAGCAGGGCCATCAGCAGGGCCATCAGCAGGTTCCATCAGCAGGTTCCATCAGCAGGTTCCATCAGCAGGGCCATCAGCAGGGCCATCAGTAGGGCCATCAGCAGGGCCATCAGCAGGTTCCATCAGCAGGGCCATCAGCAGGGCCATCAGTAGGGCCATCAGCAGGGCCATCAGCAGGTTCCATCAGCAGGGCCATCAGCAGGGCCATCAGCAGGTTCCATCAGCAGGTTCCATCAGCAGGGCCATCAGCAGGGCCATCAGCAGGTTCCATCAGCAGGGCGCTCTGAAGGGCCATCAGCAGGTTCCATCAGCAGGTTCCATCAGCAGGGCCATCAGCAGGTTCCATCAGCAGGTTCCATCAGCAGGTTCCATCAGCAGGGCGCTCTGAAGGGCCATCAGCAGGGCGCTCTGAAGGGCTATCAGCAGGGCCATCAGCAGGGCCATCAGCAGGTTCCATCAGCAGGTTCCATCAGCAGGGCCATCAGCAGGGCCATCAGCAGGTTCCATCAGCAGGGCGCTCTGAAGGGCCATCAGCAGGTTCCATCAGCAGGGCGCTCTGAAGGGCCCGGCCGGCACAAATCAGCTCTGAGATGCAGTTAGTGACAGGCGCGGGGAAACGTTGGCTCAGCGGATCATAAAAACACATTATTAGGCTGCACCGCACTGTCATTTAGAGCAGATGTGGACGAGCTGCAGATGTGACATAATGTAATGTCTTAATGCGCTGTTCTGTTTGTGATGGATGAGGATGTGTCATGGAGGTCTACCGGCTCACGGCTCAGGACCAGGAGGAACCTCTGGAGTCAACTGCACTCACACATACATCTGAGAACTGACTCGGCATTTAATGTGTTTCAATGTTTGCACAGAGCACAGGATATAAGTGCGTCTGATACAGCAAAGTATAGGCTTGTGTGTGTGTGTGTGTGTGTGTGTGTGTACGTGTGTGTGTGAGTGTGTGTGTGTGTGTGAATGAGTGTGTGTTATATTCAGTCTTTACCTAATTCTGTGGTTGTATATTTTTCACAATTTGAATTAAAGATTTTTGTAAATAATAAAAGCTCTTTTATGTGATATTTTGAAAATGGCCATAATAGGCGTTTTGTTTTTAATTTTAAGATAGGCTTTATATTTATGGGATGGGATTTTCCACATTCTCTCCACAAAGTTGCATTTTAATAATATTGTATATTCTGCAGCCAAGTCGCAGTCTAGCCAGTTGTATCACTCAAAGTAATAAAATTGGCAATTACATTTTTACAACATAATACTGGCCCCTAACATTGACAAGTGTAAATTATCACAAACCATTTCAAACACGTCATTAAACGACAAATTATGACGGTCTAACACACAGTTACATTTTTCTAGCCTCTGGTTACATTTAAGAAGTGAAATTCTTCTGGCCTGCATCTACTTTTTGCCAATTCAGCGACACAGCAGTAAAGAAACAAAGTTGAGCTTGAAGCGGCCTGAACACACACTGAGCTCGCACAGGCCCAGAGAGAAGCCTCTGCGTGGGAAACACCATCTGATCTCTGGGCTCCGGCTCCAGCTCCAGCTTCATCATTGGCATAATTGTTGCCAGATAATGTATGACAGCAGCATCGCAGGAAGGCCGCTACACAGAGCACGACATCTGCAGCTCTAAAGATCGTCAAACACTCATTTCTACAGAATACTGGGAGCAGAGGGAGAGAGAGGAGACCAGGACGATACTTATTCTACTGTACAACTGGTACGTTAAAATAACCAAACTAAAAATAAATGTATTTGGAAAGCAGTATGCAACTCTGGATCCAGTATAATCTGAGGTTGGATCCAGCGGCTGCTTGTTCGTTGTTGGGAGTTTTTTTTATTGCAATATTAATAAAAAAATATATAACAATAATAATACTCTCAACAACAAAACACACTTTTAAGTTAAAGTGACTGATGCTGACACAGTGACTGACACTACAGTCAATGACATTCTATCTATCTACTGTATCTATCTATCTATCTATCTAATCTATCTATCTATCTACAGGGTGAGATAGGACCGAGGACAGAGAGATAGAGTGGTCTGGTGTCTGCAGCCTGGTCCCAGAGCGCTGTGCTGTGGTCCACATCTGGAAGAGAGAAGTCAGTCTGGGTCTACCCCGGGTGTTTACTGCGCTGTTGTTTTTTCACACTCCTCGCAAAATCCTGCCCCAAACTCACATTCCACTGCACCAGCGCCACATGGGGGAAAAAATAGAGTCCATTTTTCCACTGTAAATCTTTACCCCCGGAGCTGCATGAGGAGAGAACGCAGAGACCTGGAATGGGCTGGGGAGTTGTCTGTCTGTCCGTGTGGATCCTGACTTGGCACCCGGACAGAGGAGTTCAGCCGAGGTCACAAACAGCTGGGGGAGTGGCGTCCTGAAAACATCCAGAGTCGCGGGTTTTGGTGTTTTTACAAGCGTGGAGCGAGGAGGAGACATCTGAGGAGCCGTCTGACATTACAGGCCACTTTCAAAAGGCCATCCATCCAAGCTCTTTGTGCAGGGAAGTACAGTGTGCAGGGACGGACACACACAATATGCCGCACTCGTAAATCTGTCAGCGGGACAATAAAATGATACACAAAGAGATAGAGACTCAGACTGGAGATGAGTATAGTACAAACCGGGATCAGCGTGCGTTTGACTATACACTCTGTTTGATAATGGTTAGCCCAGGGGTGGTGCAAATGCATGTCCAATCAACTCACAAAGGCCGGTGGGTTGCCAGGTTTACATGGCATAGTCCTGTTAAAGACCGACCGGTTTACCTGCTCCAGGGATTATCCAGCTGAAGTTACCCCCGGTCCCTGTGGTAACGTGAAGCCCCTTTTGTGGTCTGCGGGCCCAGCTTTGTGCGACAGGCTTCAGAAAGAAACGCTCAAGGTGACAGGGATCACAAGCCTCCCAGCGTCAAGGAATTGCATGTCTGGTTCTGCAGGGTTGCCAGGTTAAGCATCATAAAATACTGGGCATAGGATCCCGTTTGGCTGACTTCAAACAGTTGGGAGCGGGAGAGAAACCTGCCCAAACCCGCTCCTAGCTCCTCGCTGCTGCTGAGAAGCCTGGCCCTGCACTTGACGGGGAGTGAAAAGGGAGTTAATATGGCCTGATGCGGAGTGGCGAGGTCAAAGCCTTTTCTTTATCGCTCCTCTCTGAGAACAAGTCGAGGGGGGATCAAGTTCAGCAGCTGACAACAAACCCTGGCTCTGTCAAGTGTTAAGTTCCATTGTGACCTACACTGGGACACAATGGCCCCGCAGCGCCCGGCCTGTACCCTCCTGCTGATCGGGTGACACTCTCTGGAGGAAAACAGAAAAGTGTTGTTTCGGAGCGTCCACGGCAGACGGCAGCTGAGCGCACTGAGAGTGAGGAGCGAGAGGGGAATGGGACACAGGCTCAGGTCTGGATCAATACTGAATACTGGGGACTCTATCAATCCATCAATACATCTTTATTTGGGCTTTTTCTACACAGGGTGACACTAAGTTCTTGGCAGCCCATATCACACAAGGCATAAATCAGTAACATTAAAAACAGGGCATTGAAAAATAATAATAATTAAGATCAGGCCAGGTAATAAAAACATACAAATGATCAGATCACATTAATCTCACGGATGAATAAAAACAAATACTAAAATCACACAAGGGCTAAAAATAGATCATAAATCATTACATAAATAACCACAGTGCATTAAAGAGAGTAAAGATAAAGTCCTTCAGTCGCCTGCACTGGCAACACAACTGTCTTTAACCTGGATTATGGCAACGAAAATGTGTTTTCTTTCATGTTATGTATAATAAATAATAATAATAAAGCTAAATTACTAATTAAAATATAATTATAATCATTGCATGTTTAAACATTTTAATCACAATCATTTCCCGTAAAGTGACTGATAAAACAGATTGACTTCCGTGATTTGTGCCCTCGCTGTCACTCAAACATCAGTGTGTGGAAGAAAAGAAAGTGATTATAGAATGGTTCACGGCCTTTAAAGCTCGGGGACCTGACTTTTCATTTCGAGTCTTGTAAAATGAAAAGATAAATTCACACACCGTCTTTCTTCTGTTATAAAACATGTTATTATTTGCATAAGCATCTTAAAGAGCCCTGTGAT